CAGCAACAACCATTCTAACCTACTTGGAATCTGTCCACTGCACATTGGCCCTCAAATCTCCACTCAGAACAAGCACAATATATGGTGATTCACTATTTTGTACATCCATCCCAAGGTGTGTTGGACCTTATGTGTTTGTTCATGAACAAGCATTATTTTGGCTATGTTGGTAAGTACTTTTTATGTTGGTGGTGATGACATGTTTCTTGTTGTGACATGATTGAAGGTTGACAGTCTATTGCTTTTTGTTGGTGGTTACATGGTGGTCACATTATTTTGTATGTTGGTGGTGGTGATGACATTGTTCTGGTTGTGACATGATAAAATCTTTAGACTGTAGTCTTTTGTATATTGTTGGTAGTTTCTTTTCTAGCCTTGGGCATTTTTCTGACCAGTATTTTGTATATGCAAAACCTAGTTGAAAGGTGTTGGGTATTTTGTAAATGAATGCTAGATGATCTTCATGTTGAATCTTTTATTCATTAATGCAAGTTGTTGGAATAATGTGTGTATGAATGAATGACTGCATTTCGTTGATAATAAATGCATACATTGTCAGAACAATAACAACCAAATGATTACAAAAAATAAAAATAAATAAATAAAAAAATCCATTGCTAAGTTTTTTCTTAATTTTTCGATCCTTGACTGCATCTTCTTCAATATTGTTGCAACTTCTGCATTTTGGTTTATTATATTTTCTCTAGTTGATTCAACTTCATCATCATCTTCATAAAAAACTTCATCTTCATGGATTGTGTTTGACTTCACCCAATTTACTGAGGTAGGTATAAGCCAAACAAAAAAACTGCATTTGTTGTATGGTCACTTGAAAAATAGTTTGCTGGCAATTTCTTTTGTAAGATCAACAACCCTAATTTGAGCAAACGTGTTGCAACAACACTTAGGGTGCCTATACTTTAAATCCAGACTCTCATTTTTCACCGTCTTTGATTTTTGAGAAGACATTTTAAACCTATATTTTTTCATTTAAAAGTAAAAAAAATATTAAAGCTAAAAAAAAATGGCCAGAGATACATACATGTTGTTGTTTTTTGTGCTAAAAATCCTGGTGAAAGGGTGAGGAAAAATGTGCCCCTATTGCTTGCCTGATAAAGGCCCACTGAGGAGGTAAAACGATAATTTTGACAGGCTTCTGCAGTGAAACATAAACATATAGCCGCACAATGAGTGCGTCTAACACACTTCTGTCATCATAAACGGCGTTGGGTGATTCAGGCATGTAAAAGTACAATATAAGGGATTTCACGCAATTTTAAAATATGATGAGAAAAAGCGTAGATTTTGAGTACTGTATAATTTACGCGAAAGTTTTATGTAGTTTAAAACCAAGAAACATTTCATTTAATCCAAACTTGAGAGTATGTTTGTTTATAAAATATCTCAATTCATACTCAATATCTAACTCAAATTCAACTCAACTCTACTATCATCAATCTTATCAATATAATTAAATAATATCAATCCATCATCCTTGCACATCACATCTATTTTAATTCACTATTTATCCACTCACATAATTTAACTAACCATCACTTCACATAATCTTTCTCATACTTTTTAAATCAAATAAACTTTAATTATTATTTTAATATAAACTCAAAATCTCACTAATACTTAATAATACCAACTTTTTCAAAACTAACAATAATTAAAAAAAAAAATAACTCATTTTGAACTATATATTTATATCCAAGCACGTTATTTATTGTAAAATAGCCAGCCCATAATTATAATTATTAAATTAAAAGCACAGATCAATTTGATTTGGGAAAAGTCCACTTTTGGTCCTCCATGTTCAGGGCGTATCCAGACGGAGTCCCTATTATGTTTTGGTGCCCAATTTTAGTCCTTAAAACAAAAAAAATATAGTCCCTATAATAGGGAAAGGTCCACTTTTGGTCCTCCATGTTTAGGGGGTATCCAAACTGAGTCTCTATTATGTTTTGGTGCCCAATTTCAGTCCTTAAAACAAAAAAATATAGTCTCTATAATAGGGAAAAGTCCACTTTTGGTCCTCCATGTTTAGGGGGTATCCAGACTGAGTCTTTATTATGTTTTGGTGCCCAATTTTAGTCCTTAAAACAAAAAAATGTAGTCCCTTTACCTCAATTTCTGTGAATTAACGGTCCATTTTTGCTCGACAGTGATGTTCTTTATTTTTTTAAAATTTGTTGACTAATGTCAACTTTGACCAAAGAAAAATAAAAGAAAATTTAAATGCTGAAAATATATTAATAAAAAATTAAACTAAAACAAGAAATCGCACTAAATTAAATTAAAATTTTTGCTCGTCTGATTTCTGTTTCCCTAGCATTCGCGCTGCGGAGCAAGCTTGGAATCACAGTATACTGCTCTTGCACCCATTTCCGGGTCATGCCATCGAAAAAAATTGCACCTATCAACCCTCTGTGTTTTTTGAACCATTTCTTATCAGTCCAATAAACAAGAAGAAAGGGGTATTCCAATTGAAGTTCAGGGAAAGTACTTACAGGATATAGAGGGTAACTCAAGAATCTTCTTCCGGGATTATCATCCTTCCAGCATGTAGTCAACTTTGCATCCAGCCCACATCTATAAAATACCACACCATTTCCATCCATTTGATCGGATTTAGTCCCTAGGCGGTTAGGGTTTTTTTTTCTACCTTTTACTGTAGTTCACCATTTCTGCCTTTTATTTTACCTTTTCAGCATTTAATTTTTTTTTTTTTTTTCTTTGGTTAAAGTTGACATTAGTCAACAAATTTTTAAAAAATAAAGAACATCACAGTCGAGCAAAAATGGACTGTTAATTCACAGAAATTGAGGTAAAGGGACTACATTCTTTTTGTTTTAAGGACTAAAATTGGGCACCAAAGCATAATAGGGACTCAGTCTGGATACCCCATAAACATGGAGGACCACAAGTGGACTTTTTTCTATTATAGGAACTACATTTTTTTGTTTTAAGGACTGAAATTGGGCACCAAAACATAATAGGGACTCAGTTTGGATACTCCCTAAACATGGAGGACCAAAACTGGGCTTTTTCTTATTATAGAGACTATATTTTTTTGTTTTAAGGATTAAAATTGGACACCAAAACATAATAGAGACTCAATCTGGATACCCCTAAACATGGAGTACCAAAAGTGGATTTTTTCCATTTTATTTTTTTCTCTCTTCGGTTCCAATCTCCATCATCCCCACGAGCTCCTCTCTCTCTCACAAACATTCAAATCTTACGTTTTTGCCCTCCTTACATTCTTACCTCGCTGAATCTTGGCCTAGGGCATATCTTCTCGGAACCACCATTATTTTTCTTATGCTTTCTTTTTCTCATTTCAATTGAGCGGTGGATCTGGCACGGGACGGAAAATAAAGCAAAATGAGCGCGGATCTGGTGGCTGAGAGCACACATGGGAATCTAGACGAGCAGATTTCTCAGCTCATGCAGTGCAAGCCCTTATCAGAACCGGAGGTTTGTTCATTTCTCCCTTATGTATGTATATTCTTCTAATTTGGCTTTGATGAGTTTGTTTTAATCTTTTCCGGTTGTGCTATTGCGGATCTGGTAGATGTGAATTTGGCCAAGTCTGGAGAAATGCGTGATTCTTGTTCGCTTTATCGTGTAAAATTGCAGAAATTTTATAGTTTGAGCCAGATTCTAGGGTTTCTTGAAAAATTATACGGGATTTTGGAATAATGTTCTGATCTGTATAACCTGGATCAGTAAATTTCGTATTTTTTTTTTTAAAATACAATCTCATTTTTTTTAACGAATTTAGAGATTGAGAAAGGGTCGCTTTTTTAACTATATATTTATTTATTGAGGAATGAAGGTTATGGTATTTGGGATGAAAGAGAATAAGGTTTGTTGTGGATGAGGATTTACTGATGAAATTAGGAAGTAGGGATGAAACCGAGACCATGTACATAGAGTTAGCGATTGAGAAAAGCCAGGTTTGAAATTCACATTGTGGATGTCTACCATCCTTAGAGCATCTTGTAGCAGTTCTTTGTTTCTGTTAATTGGGCATGTTAGTTGAAGATTTGAATATAGATTTGCTGCATGTTCACTTCTGCTATTCGTCATAGTTCTACAGATTGTCCACGGTTGTGTCCCCTGCTTGAAATAACTACCTTTGATTGGTCAACCAGACTTGTAGTTTTGGTGCCGTATGGAGTTTGGCATTGGTCTCAACTCTCAACCCCCATATGATTGTGCTCACCGGATCGCATTCTAATGATAACCTTATTTATGAGGGACTGGTTTTGAAGAATGGACATCTAATGTGACCAAAATGAGTATCAAGTCTTACATGATTCCTTCATGACAGTGGAGAATTATCTGAATGAATAATAATAATTACCTTGATCACTGGAGAATTACTAGATGAACAACAAGAAATTGTTTGTATACGTTGAGCAAATATAGGTTTGACCAAATTTTACTTTATGGAGTTCCAAAACGCAAGATTTTCTTATTGTGACGACATACTAAATATAGAAGAGGATTGGTACATCGAGCTATGTAATTTACATAAATGGCTTATAATGGCCAAATCATGCATTTTTTATTTATTTTTGGGATATTTTAATACCTCTCAACCAAACATGTATAACACACCACGTGTTGAGTGGTTCGGTCGATCGGTTTCTTTGGCACCCATATGATGATTATATATGTCAAGACATGAACAAGTGTACAAATTAACAAGCTTTATGAATTAAGACATTCGATGAGCCCATGATCACTTCAGGTTGAACTGGTAATGGACATGAAAAAGATGATTCCACTTATATTTTTATTTTTTCACCTCTTCTCTCTCTCTCTCTCTCTCTCTCTCACTCTCCACTCAATATATATATATATCCCCATGGTCCTTTCTTATTTACTTTTTTTTAATCAGTTCCCTACTTTCCTTGTGTGCTCTCTTGTCATTGTCATATACGATATTTGCTAAAACCAATCACTGGGTAGTTATAATGAACAATGTGGTTGTAACTAATTTATGACATGCTAGCTATGTTATTTATGATTTGACACTGTCTGATGAGCCCTTTTCTGTTGCTTGTATTATTTAGGTTATTCATATATTTTTTGTTGGATGTATTGGAATTTTTTAACAGTCCTATTGATTTTGTAAATATAGGTTAGGGGCTTGTGCGAAAAGGCAAAAGAAATACTAATGGATGAAAGTAACGTTCAGGTATGATCAATGTACTATCCTCCAAATATTTCTATGTCATTATTGATCGACTATTTAGGACACGGCTTTATTTTCAATCATCAAGCTTTTGTTAAAATTATACATTTGCAGTTGCTTAAACAATGAAATAGTAGGTTACGTCTGATCAATTAATTAATTTATATAAGCTATGTGAACTCACATCATTTCTATATAGTGAAATAATATTCTTTGTTTAAGGAGTGAAGGTTTATTGGGGATGTTAAAGGCGAGATACCTTTAAACTAACAGTCCTCCTTTTTGTTCTATGTGATGGTTGTAGCTGGTTCCCTGCCCCAGCGAAGAGACAGCCGGGTCTAAATTGTTCTACTGCTTGAATTTTTTATAAATCATCCCCTCAAGAATATTCATTTTATTATTTATTTATTTAAGCATTCCTAATTTGTTCTGCATTTTAATTGTTAATTTAAGATGCTATATTGATTTCTTTGATGTTGTATGCAGCCGGTAAAAAGCCCAGTTACAATTTGTGGTGATATTCATGGCCAGTTTCATGATCTTGCCGAACTATTTCGTATCGGAGGGAAGGTATCATAGTTGCCTAGGAAACTATTTCGTTGTATCTGTGCAGTCTTATTTTGTTTATTATTTATTATTTATTTTGGGATGAATGATACCTAAGATCCTAGCTGCTTTGCGTTTGTCACATGCATTTTTGACTTATTTTCTTTCACCCATTTCATTTATTATTATATAATTCAATATCCCGTTTGATATATTGCTTGTTGTATGTTTGAAAATATATCGCTTGTTGTCTCACTACTGTTATGTTTCTGTTTCATCAATGACAGTGTCCAGACACAAACTATCTTTTCATGGGAGATTATGTGGATCGTGGCTACTATTCAGTTGAAACTGTAACTGTAAGCTCAAATTAAATGACATTTTTGTGCATTATCTCCGCCGTGCTCGTGAATTTTGGTCATGACTCATGATCTCAACTGTTTGAGTTTGTTCCCTCCTGTTTTTCTGATGATTCCTCTCTATGTTCTTGTTTGGTCGTGGGTGGTTGCATGGATCCACTATCGTTTGATGTGTTTCTTGTGATGCACTTTACATAGTTCTTTAGGAATTATAGTTATTGGAGATGCTTATAGGCTTTTATGTCCTGCAGCTTTTAGTGGCTCTGAAGGTGCGATATCCTCAACGGATCACAATTCTTCGAGGAAACCATGAAAGCAGACAGGTATTTTTATTTGTTAATTTTACATCTCATTTCTTCTGTAAACATCTTATACAGCATATGCCAACTGCATTTCTGCTCAAAAAGTATTTATTGAATTTAGTGCTTTTTATGGATTTAAGCATCTGTTATGAATTTTTTCCATGGTGTGTGAACATGCCCAATTTGATTAGTTACCACGAGATTGATGTTATATTTATGTCATTCTAAGTTGTTGCAATCAAAACTGCATGGCAGTTGGTATAAACTCTAAGACTGGAAGACTGATTTATTCTTGAGTGGCTGTTACAGATCCAGGTTAAGTTATCCAATTGGTTACCTGTTATGTATGAGTCTTCTTTGGGCATTTTCTGTCATCATCTTGCTTACTATTTTCCTTTTGTTTTCTTACCTTGTTTTATTAGCCTTTTGATATAAGGAACTGCACCTCTTATACTATAGGTTTCATCTTTATCTATTGCTCCTGGCTGCTGAATTTATGTGTTGTTCAAATTAGCCTTATGTTTTCAGCTGATGCTTGAAGTTGTTAGTTTTTTATTTTTTTATTTTTTTTTCTTGCAGATCACTCAAGTATATGGTTTTTATGATGAATGTCTGAGGAAGTGAGTTTTTTCGTCTCATATATCTGTTCCCGAATTGATTTAGAATGATGCAAATATACTTATATTCTGTTTTCTAGAAAATCTCGCTAGAGTTTAATTAAGTGCTGCGTACCTAATATTCTTGTGCATTTGATTTCGTGATTAACTCAAATCTTCACGTTTTTCATATGATTTTATAACAAACATTATTCTGGGTCATAGTGATTAAAAATCTTATAGATTGCACATCTCATCCATTTACAAAATTCCTATTAGGATGTGATTTAGTACTGAAATTTTGTAAATGGATGATGTGCAGTCAATAACTGTATCCTTAAAATTCAAAAGTATGGGCTGATGCAAGTCCTATATTTGTTAAGTTACAAAGCTGTGGTACCTAAGTATGTATTAGTGTTAACTTTGCCTGCATATTTAGATAATGCCAATGTTTGTTAATTCCCTCTTTGACTACAGGTATGGGAATGCCAATGTTTGGAAGATATTCACTGACTTGTTTGACTATTTCCCTCTCACTGCATTGGTGAGTAGAAATTAATTATTAATGTTGCTTGATTTCTTGCGGTGATCCTTTTTCATTTTTTCCGGCAGTTGGGATTTATCTTATCTGCCTTAGTAAATGAAACTGTGAAAGTAGATCTCGGTTATCAATAGAAAAAACTTACTGTTTTTTGCACGAACAGAAATGTGCAGTAATTTAGTTTGTAACTGCAACTATGTGCATCTCTTATGGTGTCAATTTGTACCTTCTTTAGGTTTTATTTACATACCTATCATTTTGTAGGTTGAATCAGAGATATTCTGTCTGCATGGTGGATTGTCCCCGTCTGTTGAAACCCTTGATAACATAAGGAACTTTGATCGCGTTCAAGAAGTTCCACACGAGGGTCCAATGTGTGATCTTTTGTGGTCTGATCCTGATGATAGATGTGGTTGGGGTATCTCACCACGTGGTGCTGGGTACACTTTTGGCCAGGTACTTAGTCCATTTGTGAATGCTTCTAATTTTTATTCTCTCTTTTGACCTAATTCTGAATCTTCCGTTCATTACTCACTTTTGCAGGACATATCTGAGCAATTCAACCACACTAACAATCTCAAACTAATTGCAAGAGCCCATCAGCTGGTTATGGAAGGATATAATTGGGCCCATGTAATTATTTGAATTCATAATCTTATGACCTTGTTGTATTTCATGTGTTGGCTTAGGTCAAAACTGGACATTCATTATTGATTTTGGCCTCTTACCTCAGGAACAAAAGGTCGTGACTATTTTTAGTGCACCAAACTATTGTTACCGGTGTGGAAATATGGCATCCATTTTGGAAGTCGATGACTGCAGGGAGCATACGTTCATCCAGGTCTCTTCTCTCTCTGCCTCTCTCCTGCAGCTCCTTTTTTTCT